TCCTTTCTTCTCTTTCTCTTTTCTTCTGTTCTTCCTTTCCCCTTCCTTCCTATTTTTCTTTCTCTCTCTTTCTTTCTTCCTTCCTCTCTTCCTTCCTTCCCTCCCTCCCTCCCTCCCTCCCTCCTTTCTTTCTTTCTTTCTTTTTCTTTCTTTCTTTCTGCCAGTTCTTGTTCTTGAATCCAAGGCCTAAGCATTGTCCCTGAAACTTTTGTACTCCAGGCTAGGATTTTATCACTTAGACCCTATCTCCAAATTATGGCTTTTTTGTGGTTAATTGAAAATTTTGTCTTCCTGAGCTGTCTTCGAACGGCATTCCTCATATCTCAGCTTCCCTAGTAGCTAGGATTACTGGTATTTACTTGGTAGATGGGTAGCATGTGCTGCTTTGTATACCTTCCATGTCTGGGATGACATCTATAAGGCTGAACCATTATGGACATGGACTGAAATCCTGTTAATAGGCAAACTCTTAGTGATTTAGTTCTGAGGAGTTTTGTTTATTTGGTGAAGAAGTTGATATGTTTCATTTGACATTTCACTTGGATAAACCCAACGATGTAAAAATTTCCCTCATCTTGGTCCTCACATTAATGTGAAAATAACCTTGGAATTCTGGAGTATCATCATGTAGCTAAGTGTCTGTTGCCTTCCCTCCTGTTAAAGTCTTCTCTTATTGAAAGTAGCTCAAGGCTTTTTAAAAAATTCCCCAGTTGTAATTAGAGAAGCCTTTTCTTTATGTTTCCTTTTGTATCACTATTATCTCTACCATTTCTCTTTGTATCACTGTTTATGATCTATCCTCCTAGCTTGTAAATTTATCGAAATTAAAATAGTATCAGGAAACTATAGTGAAATAGTATGAACCAACCTCCTGATTTTAGAAATAGTCACAAACTTAAAGATCATTTTTAAAAAATAAATACTTACAGATTATGATATTTACATTATTTCTTTAATCTTATGGGTTACATAGAAAACTGATAATTATTCTATACTTTTTCTGCAAATGTACCTACTTGAGAAACTGTTCAATGCTAGGCTGGGCAGAAATGTTTGTGAGATCTCCCCCTCCTTTCTTAAACCATCTCTGAGCATGGCAGTGTTGGTGGTGGTGGTAGTGGTATTGTGTGCATGTGTGTGTGTGTGTGTGTGTGTGTGCGCGCACACGCACGCGCCTGTCACTCTACATTTGTAAAGATCACAGTTCATGTCAATCCCAGCCAGAAAAAAAAATCTGTGACTTTGTATCTCAAAGGAAATAACTGGTTGTGATCGCACTTATCTGTTATCCTAGTGGAGCCAGGAAGCTCAAAGTAAACAGGAAGAGAGATTCTACATCAAAAATAACCAGTGCATAAAGAAGTAGAGGTATGGCTCAGCAATCCTAGCAAACACAATGTCCTCAGGTAAAATACCAGGATTATAGAAAAAGACAGAAACAATCCCAAATAAACAAATCACTTACCATGGCCTCAGTGGCTATATGCTGTATACTGCTTATTTCTCCAACTTCATTCAATTAGTCTACAAATATTCACTGAAAACCCGCTATTTTACAAACATTTTGGATACATAAGTGAACTAAATTAAGATCTTTGTTCTCATAATTAAATCCTAATGCAAAGAGAAAATATTTAATCAACTGTACATTAAGTCTATACAGTAAATAGGAGATCAGGCTAAAAAGAGTTGGAAAGGTTACAAGGGATTCAATCTGGTCCTTCATAGAAAAATGTGGCTGGGCCTCTCCTTTTTGCGATTGAGGAGCAGATAGGATTTTCACCTTTGCAGATCATAGAGTTGCTCTATGTACTCACCTCTGTGCTTGGCACCAAGAAAGTTGTAGATGGTGTGTTAATGAATGGATTTGACTGCTTTAATGAAACTTTATTTGCAAAACCTGGTGAGTGATCTGGTTCATTAACTGCAATTTGTGAACTCAGATTAAGATGTAAAATCTTCACAGGGAATGTCTCATTGAGTAGGTAGATTTAGAAAAAAATGCAAAGGATAATCTTTTAATCATTCTTCTGATTGAGATGTTTGTTACTAGATTTTCTAAAATTTCCAGCAATTCTAGAAATCCAAACTTCTATTGGAAATTTGTGAACTGTAATACTTAAACTCAAAACTGAGAAAATCTTTTCTAAGATTTTTACAAAACCAAATCTTCATGCATTTTAAACTATTTCTCCAAGATTGCTATCTGGGACATCTGATACACACATCCATGGGGTTTGCCAGCTTGTGTGTTCAGTCTCACCCATACTGTGACTAGTTAATTTGTTAAGGTGAATGCTAGCTAGTATAACTATGCTGATGTCTTCTGACTTTCTACTCTTTTATATTTTTAAGAACCACATGGATTAAAATTACTTTTTGGTCAGACTACTCAGAAGGCAATGATTAAGAGGACTGAAATTTAAGGAAAACATGAAAGGAATTGTGAGACCCTCATCTCAATCAATAAGCTGGACAAGATGATGTGTACCTGTCATTTCAGCTACATGGAAGGTATACATAGGAGATTCAGGCCAGCCTGAGCAAAACCATGAGACCCTATCCAACAAAAATGACCAAAGTGAAAATAGATAGACTGATAACTAAAGTAATAGAGCACCTGCTTAGCAAGCACAAGGCTCAGTACCAACCAACAAGCATTGTTTTTATTCTAGAAGCAGTATGTTCTAGTAAAAGTATTCACATACTTTATAAACTCAGAACATATATGTCAATATACAGAATTTCTTTATACTGACAATTCATTAGTTAGCTTTGCTCTAGAGAAATGAAGTTCCCAAATCTTTAAACCTGTGTGTAGTAATTCTCAAACAAAATGAAAGCCCAAAGGATCATATTTCATTGATTGGTGTACCTCTGCTCATGATGTATATCTAGGCAGATCTTCAATAAATCAGTGATTTTTTTTTACAAATGAGCACATTTTTTATTAATTGCAATATTTGAGAAATTAGTGTTCCTAATAAAAAACAATTTGAGAAACTATATTCTTGGAGAAGCAATTTTATTCAAAGCCATGGGGTTGAAAAATCTAGTATTTTAACACAAATTCAATACAAATAGATGAACATTGAATTTGTAATAAATAAATGAAAATTTCACCTGTATAGTCCATATCCTGAATACACTATAAATGATATTTGTATACAGTATTTATTTTGGTATGTCACAAATGGAAAGTATTTTATATTTATTATTGATGTTTACCTTAAAAGGAAAATGATTTTACTACCAGCATTTAAAGGGTCAAATAGCCAAGGCATAGGTCATTTGTGTTCCATGTTCATAGTTAAATAGTGTAACAAGCACAGCCTGACTCTGATCCCCTACTCAAACTCTTGTGAACTACACTTAGGACTACTGATGTTTTGCTAGTGGGAACAGATAAAAACACATCTAGGAGTTATTTTCCTCAAACAAAATACTGAAATAAGGTATTCTCTTTTCATTTGCTTTGTTCCTACAGAAAAATGGTACCACCACTGCACACAATTATCTACTGAAAGGGCTCAGCTAGCCCTCCCAATAGACGTTATGTGGATAACAGAAATCACAGATACAATGAGAGTATTCTGTGTCTTGTGTATTATAATCCATTTCTAATCCATTCTTCAGTCCCTTCAGAGCATTTACCTATCAGTACTTTTAGTGTTACACTATTTTGTAACTGGGACTATTCCTTAAAAGTACTCCATGTCCTTGTAATTGACTTCAATTCATAATACACTTGATAGTATTGAGAATTTGTTTCTTTTATTTGTCAGTGATTTTGTGTCAGTTCCTAAAATGACAACATAAAAAAACTAATATTAAAATGTTTATGTCAAAGCAAAGTTACTTTGAAAGTGAATAAATGTGAAACAGCCAAAGTTACTATCTCTTGAGCATTTTATTTGTTATAAATACAAGTGAAAACCACAAGATGGCACCTTCTTACTTTCAACACCTAAAATTACAAACAATTATCTTCATAAAATGGTCTCAGCTTTTTAATATGTTGTTTTAGATATTATTGAAACCTTATAAAAGCAAGACTCACTACAAACAGGATCGGTGCTTAATGTATATTAAATGAGGTCAGATAATTAAATTCAAGAAAAAGAATTTATAAATATTCAGATAAGAAAATTGAAATTACAAAAGCGGAGTTTGTCATCATTAAACTGAATTACAATTGTGTGTGGTTAATTCTATATCTACCCAGGTAAGGTTTTGTTAAAGTATAGTTTTAGTAATCAAATAATTTACCTCATTCTCCAAGATAATCACCTATTTTAATGTATCATTCCATTTACACTTCATTCAGAAACCAAGTAGCTTTCATCTGGTCCAGCAATTTCACACACTCCTAAATTTCAATAGATATAGCCTATGAAGTACTATCATCCCCTGACTACAAAACAAAATACAATATTTAAAGGTAAAAACTCAGAGAATTTCTGAAATGGTAACCCATTCTCCCAGTGCTCATGAAAATAGGCAATCCAATTTGAAAGTCTTTAAACCAATGTAAACTCTAGAAAACTCATGTTGAAGTATGGGAAGAATAAATATTTTGCACTAATGTAGTGCATAACAATTCAGTGTCAGACTTGTCATTTATAGTAAATGCCTTGATTGGGCTTTCCTCCAGATTGTCATTATGCTGCTGAAGATCAAGTTTACTCAAGTCTGTGGGAATTCCATCTGTGTTCTTCCCCCCATTTCCAAACAGGAAGAGAAGGGTTTTCAGGCCTCTTGGAAAAAAACAAAGAAATAAAACACTCACACCCACAAACAACTTGGAAACAAAATGGCAGACCTAATTAATTCTTGACTCCATGTTCAAATGAAGTTGAGGCAATATTACTTTATGCAGTATTTGTATTCTGCCCAATATTTCACATCACGAGATTCCTCAAAAAACTGAGAAGTCTGAGAGCTACAAAAGAGAAAGCAGTTAAGGCAGTTGATGTCTACATTTGGATTTATTTTTCTAGTTACATGTCTAAGTCTCCATCGTAGGCTAAGGTCAGAGGCTTCTGATGGGGAGGTGTGCTTTGATGTGCTTTTGGCTTCTTGCTGCAAAGGGAAAAGAAGTTCTCAGATAAAGTTCACACACAGCTCTTTTTCATCTGCTAGAAACAATTTTGAGCTATACAAATTCAAGTATAACATAACTAAATTTTATTTCTTTGAAAAAGGATTTCCATATATATATGTACATATATATGTATATATATGTACACACACACACACACACACACACACACACACACACACACACATATATCCCTGCATCACTTATTAACAGGAAAATATTCTGTGAAGTGCATTGTTAGGAAATTTTGTCACTGTGTAAACATGAGAGCTTGTACTAACAAGCTAAGATGGCTTAGACATGACTTTATAAGCCAATACAGTTTCGTGAGACCACAGTCATACATCTCACTGTTGATGGAATAGGTACTATGCAGTGAATGATTCTGCTATAATTTTAACCTTTTACAAAGTACCCATCATTGCCTGAAAATACTAAAGATTGTCAGTAAAACCAAGGATCTTGACAGGATTATTTTTCCTCCTTATTCTTTATTTTATTTTTTAAAAATCATTTTATTATGTCAAACTCAAGATCTGAGCTGCTTGTGCTTTTGTGCTCAAAGGTAGCACTTTGCCACTTGAGATCCAGCTCTACTTCTGGCTTTGAGTATTGAATTGGAGTTAAGAGTCTCACAGACCTTCCTGCATTGGCTGGCATTGAACTGTATGTTACAGATCTCTGCCTCCTTAGTTACTAGGATTATAGACATGAGACACCAACATCCAACTATATTTTAAATGTTATCTTTAAGTAATTGTACAAAGGTGCTTCAATTCAGCATGTCAATTTATGAATATACTGAGTGTTTGGTAGATGTGACCCACTCCGCCATTCTTCCTCAACTCTCCCAACCTCACCCATCCATCCCCTCTATTTTTTCTAATTTCACTTTCAAATGTAGATTTGAATATTATGGCTGCTTGTTGTTACTTAGAGAGCAATGTAGACATCTGCTGCTCACTAATACCTAAGCTACTGTGACCTCTAAATCACAAATGCTTAACATAGTATGTGCTTGTCTTGTTTTTAAGTGTACTTCAACTCTGGCCTGAAACTTGACATTCAGCTACCAAGTCACCACAGTCAGTCAGGAAAATTTCATTATTCCTACTCTGTGCAAAGAGATTGTCACCGAGCTTCTGCTTTACTTGTGCTCAACAACTTTGCCAGGTCAGAGAGGTCTGGTTTTCTTTCTGACAAAAAACATTGAATTCCTAGTTCTTAAGGGGATGCATCTTATTTGTCACTTAATGTTTCTGAGCTGAGGTGAATCTTAATTTATATTGTTAAATATTTAGAGTATGTGATTCTGCTAGGAACTTTTCCTTTCCACATAACTACCCTTTCCTCCCCAGAGCTTGGCTTTGCCATGCCTTCTGAGCCTAGCTCTTCCCTAAGCTGCCTTTAGCAGGAAACTGTCTTTCCCGGGCATCCAACTGTTATGCTATATAGCTTACAGTAACATCTATTATTTATTTTGGTTGGATGTATGCTAAGTGCCAAGCTCTGTGCTGAGCATTTTATATGAATTCTGTCAATAAATCCCAGAAGCAATCAGATTATTGCTGTTCTATGGAGAACAGCAATAGGAGAGTTTATGTGCTTTCCCTTAGGTCACTGAGTGAGTGGAAGAGCCTGAGTTCTGTAAAAATCCAACATGGGATAGCCTAAGCTTTCAACCTTCACTGCCCTATGTATTTGCCAGTCCTTTTGCACTTGTTAGAAATGTTCTGTTTGGTCTGTACACATGAATTAGGTTTTATATTAGGATTAAATTTAAAAGCAAACATTTTTATTGTGTAAATGTGTGTATTTTGTAAGCCACAATATTGTCTATTGTCACTGTTATCTGGCACCAGAATATTTTCCTCGACCCAGAAGGCAATTCTGTTCTCACCAAGCAGTCTCTCCCTGTCTGCCCCTCCCCATCTACCCTGGCAGCTGCTAATCAACATTCTGCCTCTATGGATTTGTCTATTTCTAGGCATCTCACATAAGTAGAATCATTACCATCTGTGGCCTTTTGTGTCTAGTTTCTTTCACTTTATGGTAACAGTGGTGAATGCTATATGAATTCTAATACAGTAAAATGTTAGATAAAATTAAAAGAGTCATAGGGCAGATCTCCTGATTTAAATTTTTGAGTTCCAATTGAAGGTATGAAATTAATTTGGGGGAGGGGTGATGTTTGAAACAACTAACAGAAGCTAAGAAAATAAAATTATTTTTTACAAGCCATTTAAATGAACCATAGGTTCTATTAATGGTCCTTTCCACTGCACCTGGAAAGCCATGCTCTGAGGATTTGTGGACCATTGGGCAAACAACTTCCACAAACCTTAAGGACAGGCAAATACATGATTGAGAATCTTCGCATAGAAAGTCTCGGCCTCTGATATCCTGCTTCTCAGAAAGGATCTTGCAGTTCTCAAAGGGATATTAAATAATTATATATATATAATATGTATAACAATCAATTTAACCTTATCCATTTAAATCTAGAAGTACATTCTCTAATGATATGCTGGACTCAGGCTCTGACATAGATAATAAACAGGGTTTCAAAATGGATATTGGGAATTCTAATATCTAGCACTGAAAAGATCTGAAAAACCATACTGATGGAATCACCTAGATATGACACCTTGTGTATCTACCCTAGTGATGTTGTCTGTTATTGTAATGGCAAAAGAGTACAAGGACTTTCATCTGAAATGTCAATAAAAATTTTCCCTGTCATAGTCTAACGTTTAGGTTTTTTTGAGGGGAAAGTGGAAGGGAGAAGTGGAGAAGAAAAGGCAACAGGAAAGAAGGAAGAAAAATTATAAATGCTTGAAACACACTTTTGGCAATTCATCCTTAAGTTATCTTTGCTAAAGGGTAGTGATCAGTTGAGTTGAAGTTGAGAATCAGAGTAAAGTTGAAGACCGGAGATGACTATATGTGTATAAAGAGACAATAGTATTGACTGAGAGGCAGGTCAATTTGGCCAGCCCTTCTAGTAGAGATTGGAAACTAATGTTAAAAATATACACAGATGTTTTCATACTGGTCTTCTATGAAGAATTAAGGACATTGTATCCAGTTCTGAAGAGAACAGAAGACCTGGACCCTAATGGGCAATGGTTGCTGAGAACACTGGATTGAGGACTTTAACAACTGTGAATCATTTCATAGTTTGTATCATCTCAGTGAACAGATCCTCACATCTCAATTGTGAATGTGAGGGAGTTGAGAATTTCTACGGCATTTAAAACAAATCACTGTATTTCTGAATGCTAACCTCTGAACTGCTGCATATAGTGGTGAGTTGCTGGGCAGCCATGATTTTATAACACTTGCAACCCAGTTCAGAAGCCCCCTATGAAGAGGGATTTGTGCAAAGCTGGCAATTAGGACACTTGCTTTCAGAGCCTTAGTATCTGTTCTTCTCCCTTACTCAACTCCACTTTTTCTTCAAGAAAGAAGAATTTTCGTTCTCATTTTGTTTTCTCCCCAACTTCTCAACCAGAAAAAGTATGATTGCCTTCCTCTTTTACATGAACTAAGGTCCCACAAATGGCTGGCACACAGACCACCATCACCAGCAATTGTCCTCTGCCAAGCCAACATCTCTAATACATCACACACTTCTCCCCTGTTGAGCTGAGGTCCAGATCATCACTCTTCCTAATAGAGTGCTCTTGACAGCCACCACAACTTCAAGAGCACAACATTTTGCAGTTCCAGCTGTAAGACATCATTGACTGACAAATTTTAAAGTGACTTCTTCTGATGTCATTTCCATTTTAGGAAAATGGACATTTTCTTTCTTGAGCCACACTGCCAGCCCTGTCATTTGCATTTTTTTTTCAAATGACAAAAATGCATGCAGAAAAGAAAAGCAAGCTCATCTCAGCTTGACAGTCAAGCTGCTGATACTATTTCTCAGCACCATGGAGTTTAAGCCCTAGGCCAGTAGAAATTAAAAATGTGATTAAAGCAAGCAACTTTTGTTTGGGCAACTACTCGTGGAAGGTAGGCTTAAGGAAGTTTGGCCATCATTCTCAAGCTTGGAAAGAAGGGAGATCCTGCCACTATCTGAAGAGTTTTGGTGCTTAAGCAAGAAAAATAAAACATACAGACTGAAAGAATGGTCAAAAATGCCTGAATTTCTGGGTACTGATAACCCATGGTTATCATTCTAGCTGCCTAAGAAGCCGAAATTTGAGATTCTAGTTTTAAGTCACCCAGGGAAGGAAAGTCTGTGAGAATCTTATCTTCAATTAACCACCAAAAAGCCACAAGTGGAATGGTGGCTCAAATGGCAGACTGTGAGCCTTAAGTGAAAAAGCTCAGGAGCAACACCCAGATCTGGAGTTCAAGCCCCAGGATCAGTACACACATAAAAAAATGAAGCCTGAATTTTGAGGTTAAGCAAAGCTGGAATTGTCTCTGTGAGATTGTTGACTGCTGAAATGTTATTTAATTTTTCTGAGGATTAATTATTTTCTCACTCTAATGGGGATAATAACAGTATCTCATTAGGCCATTAGAAGGATTAAAGAAGGCAAACTAAACTGTTTTGTGCTTAACATTAATGTTAGATATGTTCCTTTCAAATTGTAGGTCTTTTTTTTCACAGACAATACTTTAGTATTTGCTCATCTACTCATTTATTTATCTACTAACTCATGTGTTAAATAGATAATTATCAACTTTGTGCTGTACAAAATTAATAAAACTAGGAAAGCCCTTGGAGCTTTGGAACAAAAGGACTACGAAAGTCAGAATGAAGTATATGTCATTGGGGTGGGGAAATGGATGGGTTATTCCAGATTGTTTGGACAAGGAAAAGGTTGGTATTTAAAGTTTCCCCTGAGGAAATTGTCCAGTGCCAATGACTGGCGATGAAGAGTTCCTTCTAGATGAACAGATGGATGACAGCACAGACACAGCAGTGTCTTGTGAAACTGGAAGGGTAAAGGGCCCTAATAGAAACTTGTGTCATCCCCAAGTTTTCCCTCAGAAAGCAGACGCAAATTCCTATATATTAGGAGAGTAACTTTTGCAATAGGACAAAGCTTTTATTCTACACACACAGAACAAATAAAATAATGGTCTTCCCTAAGAAATATGAGCAGATGACTCGTTCTAAGGATGAAAGCTCTCAAACGGCTGCACAGAAAGATTCAGAGAAATACTCATGCAACATGGATGGAAAGGATACACCTGATCATGAAAAATGGGAAAGCAGACTTGATCGTGACCAGGGGGCAAGAAGAAATGTCTGTGACTGACCTGAAAGATGAATGGGAGTAATTGGCTACAACTCTTCCAAATATAAAATTGGAGAAGATGATTTAGAATGAGATATTAATATTTAGTATATGATTGTTGATGGAACTGTCTAATTAAATGCAATTGACTGAATATCAGAATAAAAGACTATTTTATCTAAATAAAAAAAAATACTTAGGTCCGTCAAATGTTTTTGTTTTGGCATTTTATTTTCCTTAGAGGAAATTAAGACAAATATCTTAAAGTCAATATATATATATATCAGATTTTCCAGGACATAGGGCCTTATAGGAAAATGAAATCAGAAGAACTCCTTGGGCTCTAATCATGAAAGACTTTAGTCAGCTGGCTAGCAAAGTAGAATGGAACATGACTATGATTTTGCTGTCAGTGGGATGTGATAGTACTATCTGTGAGTAGGGCAGAGGTTGATCACCTGGAGCTCTATGTTTTAGGCTCTAGATTGAAGAAGAGAGGATAAAGAAATTCAAATAAGGGGCTGTTATGTAAGTTTTATGGGGGATTATCAGGAGCATGAGAATATGTGAGAAATATGGTACATGAATATTTATGTGTGGGCAGGGAAATTGTACTGTTTATAATAAAAATTTTATGGTAAATTGTTTGTTTCCAGACTTCAGTGATATAACTGCTTAAAATCCAAGCGTTTAAAGTTAAACAGAAAAGAGCTTACTAAATATTTGTTGAAGAAATCAAACAGGATAGAAAATAACTTTAAGGAAATAAAGAAAGAAAAAAGAGGTAAAATTTATGTATATTATGTGTTAATTTCCAATCTCTTAGACATATTAAGGAAGAGGAGAAAATTAGAACTTGGATTTGGGATGTATGTGTCAATAGAAGTTTTTACCAACCACCTACTGAATTATCTGTACTATATTGGCCTATTGCTTCAAGAGTAGTTTCTAACTGAATGCATATCTTTTGTCACAGTTTTAAATTTCCCTCTTTTTCTAAGTCTTTTGTGGTGGTCATTGCTTCCTACCAATCTAAACCTCATACTAAGCTTTCAATTCACATTTATTCATTAAGAATGGAGCTAGGCATTACTCACCGAATTTATCAATTGAAAAATATAAACTTGCCAAATAATTTCATGATCAAGTGAATGACTAACTGAAGATATAACTTTCAGTATAACATTCTAGCAACGTTAGCTGGATAAAAATCCAGTTTCACATGGGTTTAATTTTTTTCACAATAGGTGGCAGAAAGAATTAAAGTCATTTTATTTTCATTCCTGACTTTCCCTAAGAGCAGAGATTAAAAAACCCATGTAGCCTTGGAAACGGAATTTTAGATTAAATATACAAAGGCTAGATTTGAATCAAGATTAAAATTTGGTAAAAATTCTAAAGGAAATAGTATATGTCAGATGATAAATATAAGTACAATAATTTGAAGAAAATGAAATAACACTTTGATCTCATGAAAAAATAATCCTTACTATTTTTTCTTTGAGCCAGATGCTGTTAATCCTAGCTACTCATGAGAATCATGATCTGAGGCTCATGATTCAAAGCCAGTTTGAATAGAAACATTTGTGAAATTCTTATCTCTTATGTACCACCAAAAAGTTAGGAATGAAGCTGTGGCTCAAGTGGTAGATGCTAGCCTTGAGCAAAGAAACTCAGTTCCAGTGATCAGGACTAGAGTGAGTTTGGACTCCAGGACTGACACTCAGGTTTTTTTCCCCCCTTGGAAACTAATAAAATATTCTTTTATTTATTTATTTTTTTATTGTGAAAATACTGTACAGAGGGGTTACAATTACATGGGCAAGATAGTGAGTACATTTCTTATCAAGCATTGTAGCCTCCTCCTTTGTTTTACCCTTCCCATCCTTTCCCAGCAAAATATTCTTTCCTATTAGAAAATGTTCAAGGGTATTGGTATGTTTCTTGTTTCAGGAATTGGACATCAACTACAATGTACTGTGTATAATAAACTCATTATAATTTCATGAGAATAATACACTTTTAGGAACGAGTTACATAAAAAATAGATTTCCTGGAATTGACAGCCAATTAACATTTCTTTTGTCGCTAGTCAATGACAATGACTATAACCCCTTGTTTTGCTCCTGGGCAAAGTTATTTCTTTTTTTCTGCCCATTTTGGGCTTGAACTCAGGACTTGGGTGTTGTTCCTGACCTTTGCTCAAGGCCAGTGCTCAGCCACTCAAGCCACAGCTCCACTTCTGGCTTTTAGTGGTTAATTAGAGAAAAGAGTCCTATGGATTTTTCTGACCAGGCTGGCTTGGAACCACAGTCCTCAGATCTCAGCCTTCTAAGTAGCCAGGATTATAGGACTGAGCCATCATCACCTAGATTGGCACTGATATTTAGAGTGGTTAAGAAGTAGCTTGAATTAATTAATTAGTTTAGCCAAGCTAATCAGAATGATCAGGTTAAGAACAAAATCTACGAGCTAAAATCATCTATAGTGGTCTCAGATTTCATGGATGATTCATTAGAATTATCTAGGAGCTTTTATAAATCCAGATGTATGACATAATTAAAAAACTAAAATAGCCAAAAGGAACTACATGAGAATCTCTGGATATAGGTTTTAAGCATCCTATGAGATGCCAGCACACATGGCGTTGGAAACTACCAACATAAATCAAAATGTTAATAAAAAAGTCCTAACTAAGGATTTATGTTATATATGTTCTTATATATAATCAAAATGTGATATGAAATGATAATGCTGTTGACATAAGTCCCCTCTTTCCACTATTCACGCCTTCTACTTCAGGAAAAGATTTACAGACTCAAGGGTCCTGTGATAATGGCCAATGAACATAAAGTATGTTTCCTCTTAAAACAACCTGTCTCTTATATAAGCATAAAATGAAAACTGTATACTTGTGAGTACTTACCAAACAAAGTAGGAAGTAAATACTAGGAAAATCATGATAAGAAAACCACCACCGAAAACGCCATATACCCAAATTTTTACTCGGCCATCTGTTTAAGAAAGAGTTGACATAGCAAGTTTAGTGTCCAGAAGTTTACAGTATTGGAGAAAGTAACATGCTGTCTGGCAGCCCCATGCTGATGATCGGTTCAGAACTTGAAATGAACAGCATCAGAGCTAACTAAACTCTCATGCCAAGCAGTGTTTTGGCAGACTCTGTGACTTGCCATACATGATAAGGAACCAACAAAGCTCTCTCTTGAACATCGAAGGAATATGAGTTATCTACTAGAAACTATGTTTGTGAAAAAACAAACTTGTATTACTTTGTACTATTATTTATGGATTTATACCCATATAAACAGTGTATATCACCCTAATATTTAGAAAGTGAGCACTCAAAAACATTACATTATAGTTGCACGTATATAAGTATAATTTTAAAAAATTACCTCAATTCTGAAATTTCCATAGTTATAAATGTATGTATAATTGACACATAGTCAATTATAATATAATTAATGAATTTGATTTTTGACTGTATTATAATTAGTAATATTTGATATTTGTTTTACAACTACCAAACACTGGTGATTATTACTTCATTAAATTAACTGGCAGGCTATTTTATTAGAAGCTGCTTATAATCTTTACATAACCTACATACATTTGCAAAGCATTTTGTCCACATAAACAATGAAAAGTAAATAAAAGGGCTATTCTGGGCATCTCTTAATTCTTTGTGCAAATAAAACTAGTATGATTGTTTTACTAGCTCTGCTTTCTAAATAACATTGGATAAACAAAACCAATATAACCAGATCAATGAAACATTTGGCCAATTTACTGTGAAATTATGACCATGTACATGCATGAATATATTATTTAGAATTTCATAACTCTCAAAGTTAGATAAAGCAGAATCACCAAATACTCTGTATGTTCTTCTATTTTGTAACTTTTCTATGTAAGGTATTATTTGAATATATGTATGGTTCTCTTAAATATGATAGACATACATTGTTTTTCTTAGAATATTCTCTCTCCCTCCTGCCTTCCCTCTCCCTCCCCCCTCTCTCTATCTCTCTCTTTCATCAATACTAGGGTTTGAATTCAGAAACTTGCACTTGCCAGATAAGTGGTGTGTGTGTGTATGTGTGTGTGTGTGTGTGTGTGTGTGTGTGTGTGCATGCACTCCCCCCCACACACACACCCATCACCATACACACATGCTAATCCTGGGGCTTGAAATCAGAGCTTGGACACCATCCCTGAGCTTTTTTTCTCAAGGCTATGAATCACTCTAACACTTGGGCCATAGCTTCACTCCCAGCTGTTTAGTGTTTAATTGGAGATAAGTGTCTCATGAATGAGATCCACAGAACTCAGTTTCCTGAGTACCTTGGATTGTACAGGCATAAGCCACCAGTGCCCAGCTTGCTTTAATTTTGAAGTACGTTGTGTATTTTTTTCGCCTGGTCCAGTATGCTTACTGTTTTCTGCCTGGCTGGGATGATAGTTGTATATTACCACACCCAATGATTTCTGATGAGAGGTGTGAACTTTCTTTCCCAGTTTGGCCATGAATTATGATGCTCTTAATCTAAGCCTTCAGAGGGTTACAGGCATGAACCATTGCACTTGGCTTTTTCTCCCTATTTCATGGATAACTAAATTTACAATTTCAGGAATTCATTAACCACAGGTCCAAAATACACATATCTGCATCTTCCTCTCTCTTTCTTCCTCCTCCTCCACCACCACCACCACCTCCTCCTTCTCCTTCATCATTGGCAACTATTTTGCGCCAGCACAGAGAAATACAAGGGTCTGGCATTGTTTCTTAGCTTGTCCTGTTCAAGGCTGACATCGGACCACTTGAACCACTATATCTCCACTTCCAGATTTTTGGTGGTTAATTGAAGAGGCTTTCCTGTCTAGGCTGGCTTTGAATCATGAACCTCAGATCTTGACTTTCTGTGTAACTAGGATTACAGGTATGAATCACCAGTGTCTGTCTTGCATTTTATTCTTAAACTTCTTTGGGATAAAAAACAATGCACATGCCTATAATCCTAGCTATTCAGGAGGCTGAGATCTGAGGATCGGGATTCAAAGCCAGGCCCAGGCAGGAAAGTCTGTGAGACTTTTATCTCTAATAAACCACTCACAAACCGGAAGTGATGCTAGCCTTGAGCTGAAGAGCTGAGGGACAGTGCCCAGGCCCAGAGTTCAAGCCCCACAACCTACAACAAAACAAAAACAAAACAAAAACAAAAATAAACAAAAAATAATGCGAATATCTTTTTTTAAATTTTATTTTATTGTAAAGGTGCTCAACAATGACTGAATAAAATCACGATGACTTTCAGTTATATTACTACTTATCAGTTTTTCTTCTTAGAAAACATTTTTAAGCCTAAATCATTCAAAATGAGTTTCCACGGAGTAATGATTTCTTTCCTATGATCGTGTAAAGTTTACAAGATTGCTTGTTATAGCAAGTGAGTAGAAACAAATTAAATACCCATAGCAAGTGAGTAGAAACAAATTAAATACCCATAAATACAAAAATGAAAAAACAAAAATGTGGTGCAAACTGTATATGGATATATTAAAATTAGGTAGACCTTTTACAAACTAGCATGGAAATATATACAATCTATAATACTCAGCAAAAGAAACATAGCAAATCAAAACAATGATGTTCTTCAGTTTTGTGTGTGTGTATGTGTGTGTGTGTGTGTGTGTGTGTATGTGTATGTCAGGTACTTGGAAATTTTGATCAAAACAAAAAAGATTCACAGCGAATATGACTGTGATAACTCCCAAGTAAAAAAGATAGCTATCTTTTTTTAAAAAAAGCTTTGATTCTGACTTCTTTGAAATACTAATGATTAAATTATCTATTTCAGTTTTTACATTGTAAACATAAACAAAACCAAACAAATACCTTGTTTGAACAAAAATCACCCTTTATATTACTTTACCTACAAGGACTCACAAAATTGATGCATTAAGATGACCCACTGCCTTTAAACTTCAACTATGTTTAAAATATTACAATGTTTAAAATAAAACTTCAAACTATTAAAAACGATAGTGAAAGTATACTTTTAATAGAGGGAGGGACATGCATTAGAATGCAATATGAACATGTGTATAACTAATATAAGGTAAATAAAATGTCATTTTACTACTTTTTTACTTTCTTGCTTGGAAGCTAGCACTATTGCTAGTTATTCTTATGTGTGTGTGTGTGTGTGTGTATGTTTCTCCATTTTAATCTGAATATCCAAGCATCTGAATATGTACACACACACACACACACACACACACACACATCTTTCAAAATCCTACTTGATGTACATCATTTATTTTGATTTGTACTTTTTTTTGCGAAGCAATTCAAGTTGTATATATTTCTAAGTTAGTTCACAAAAGCACATTTATCTAATTTTAATAGAAATTATGGGATAACATTCAACAATTGTATCTCATTTTTGTTTTATGTGATGCTATTAATGAGCATTTGGGTCATTTCTGCTTATATTTTGTTACAAGCAATCATGTTATGATTAAGAAATTCTTTAATGGTGTCATGTGTATGTATCTGAAGAACAAATTTGAAAGATAAATATTTTTGGTAAAAATGTGTATTAGGAAAATGTATTGGAATAGCCAAATTGCCCTCCTGTATATAATGCTCTCATTTTATTCTTCACCATTAGAACATAGTAAAAATTATGAGCTCTAAGACTAAAAACATACTAAGTGTGTACTTATGTGTATAACTGAATACACAGATATGACACATACATTAATACACAGGATTATTATTGATGATTTATTGAGACCCATACAGTCTATGCTTGGTCTCAATATTTAGGACTTCACAGGTAGATTTTAAGATACATTGTCCTGGCCCTCACCCTAATTCTTTTCCAGAAATAGGGTCTGCTTTTCATATCATCATTGGTTAAATTTGTATCTACTCCTAGATCATTCATCAAGCTAATGAGATGTTTTAAAACACCTCTGGCATTCCAAGACATATAGAGAAATTAAAAGTTGAATAAAATATGGTACTCATCCTAAGAAGTTGGTTGAGGTGTGTAAATATTATTTCCCCAATTAGATCTAGAGTGCTTAGCACCTGGGCTCTGTTTTTTGCTTCATTTAAACATGTTAGAGATGTATTTCTTTTAAGGCTAAGGCTAAGGAAGAAAAGTCCCTAAAACATACTAGTATGAGCTTTATTTTTCTCTTCTCTCCCATTCCTTGCCCGTTATATTCCACTTTTGGAAACAATATGACTGACAGACATGTAGACTCTTGCTTTTCCCTTCTGCCCACTTCACAAATTCACATAAGGACTTAGATGAGCCAACTTTTTGTAAACCTCTTTCTGTCAGTGTTGATGGTGGGACTTGATAAAAATCAGTTGGAACTGCCAGTTTCAGCTCCCTGATCTTTCAAATGCGGCTGATAATATCCTTTAGGTTGCAAGGCTGCACTATGATGATTCATGTAACAGAAGCAGCCAGTACAGAACCAAGAAAATACAGAGCGCATTCAATACATTTTCCTTCCTGTTCTTTATGGCAAAGCTCTATTCTGAGCCCTTAGGCCTGACAGTGCAATTATCCTCACAGTATGGCAGGGTAGATGCTTCTGAATGAGTTTTATTGATAAAGAAACTGAGATCTTGGGATGTTAAGAAATTACATCTGGTCACTAGTCAGGCATGTTTAAGCTCCAGTGCCAGTCAAGTGGTATTTAGCAATTTCATTAATGTTTCTCACACAAGGTCTCTTTAGATTTCCTAAAAGTTTCTCACTTTCTATTCCAGGGTTTCCCTTTAATTATAATTATATACGTGAACCCAGTCATATCATCAGAAATAATTTACAATTAACAAATGTTTCCAAGAATGTTATTTTGTTACTTAACTCAGTGCCTATTATTTGATGATTGGCAGGCTAGCACTCAAAGACCTATGAAAATATTTGCGAGTTAAAGGGAACTATGCATCAGACAATACAAAAATGAGAGAAAGCTTGAACCAAATTATTGTCTTTTTTTTTTTGTCCGTCTTGGGGCTTGAACTCTGGGCCTAGGTGCTTCCCTCAGCCCTTCAGCTCAAAGCTTGAGTTATAGTGCCACTTGCAGCTTTTTGGTGGTTAATTGTAAAGAAGAGTTTCACAGGCTTTCCTGCCCGGGCTGGCTTTGAACCACGATCCTCAGATCTCAGCCTCCTGAGTAGCTAGGATTACAGGCGTGGGCCATTGACACCCGACTGTGTCTTCTTTCTTTATTATTCTTTTCTTTCTCTGCTCCATTCTACCCATACTGAATAATGGTAAAATATGACCCACTTCCACGAGAATATCTGCATTTCTTATTCATAACTGGAACATACCTGGATCAAGTAACTGAAGAGACCATCCTTTAAAAATGTCATGTATTTTTGAATTCACAGGTCTATTTTTCCCAGAGAGGTTTTTCACATCAGCTTTTCTGTCCTCTGAACCTGGTACTTTCATGCAGTAATCTAGGAAGCCGTTTGATCTCATTATCTCTAGGTAACCCTCCTCACAACCACAGACCCCACCCTGCAACACAGGAAATATTTTAATGGTTACACAGTTGAACAAATGAATAAGGAGCAATTTAACTGATGGAATTGCTTAATATTTGAAATATATATTATGAAAAGTTAGGGTTTTTAGCAACTGAGTTCCCCGTAAGATGGAAATGAAATTTATATTTCATCTTTCTGAATACTAAAGTCATCATTTAGTAACTTCCAGGATTTTCTAATGCATTTGTAATTGTAAGGCCTTTGAAGTATGAGCTCAAAATTATTTGTGAATAAAGTATATCAACTATGTCTTCTCCTTTTTTGAACTGTTAATGTTATTTAATCAAATTATCTTCTTTCCTTTCCTCAATGGTTTTTGAGACCTGTCTACTGATTCCAACTTCACTTTCATCCCCGGAAGTGGAAGCAAGGTTTCTGCATATTCTCAAATGGCATTTGAGGTTCTTTGAAATCCGAATATCACTATCAATTTTCCACCATTGACCTCTAACTATCTGGCAGTATCTCTCTGCTCCTTAGAGAGCAGCCAAGTACAGGAATAAGACTTCATGAAAGACACATGACCATGGAAATGATAGCATTTTATCTATTAAATTTATTGTTATTATTATTATTGTACTGGAAATCAAATCCAGGGCCTTGCATGTGCTAGACAAGTATTGTACTGAAGAGCTCCCTTCCCATGATGTATGTGTAAGTTTGCTATAGGTCACTAAGTGTTATAATGAAGATATTGACTAATGCAGGGAATACATCACTAGAATTAGAGCTATAGAAAATACAAGATTAGTCAAGAGAGATAAAATTATGAACATAATAAAAGTTGTTGTAGTAGGCATTGAAGAGATAACTAAAGTTGCTCCTTCAACTAAGTGAATGAATAGATGACTTGTTGTAATATCTGTGGTCAATCACATGGCTAGTGCTACCAGTTGGATGTACAAGGTATTAGTTAATTAATATGTGATACACCTAATTAGGATTCCTTATGGTAGAATATTGGCATAAGAATTTGTTTTATATTGGAAGCCTGTTACAGCTGTTACAGACCACCTCAGGCTGGTCTTGAGCTTGCTTTGTTGCTTGTGCTGGCTTTGAACTCCTTACTTTCTGCTTTAGCTTCCTCAGTGCTGAGATTAGAGGTGTGAACAACCAATTGTAGCTCCTAAATTACTGTGTTATTTAGACTGTAGCTTGAGTGTCAGCCTATCTCACATCCCTAGTTGGCATTGTAATAATATGACCTTTTTAAATTTTCTGTGACACTTGCTGGTCATTTTCAAGTGTAATGAATGTCTTTGTAGAGCTCACTATGATGAGCGGTGATAGACAGATTCCTATCTTTTTCTAAGAGTGAACCTGAAAATGACTGCCCTTCCTCAAGCAAACAGATACCAGAGAAGAATACAAAAGTAAAAGCATTAAGATCCTAAATCCCTGGTTTGGTATTATGACTTCTTCTCTAAAATTAGCTGGCATTTTTCAAACAGATACTAACCCCCTATAACTACTTATACCAATCCTCATCAACCAGCCAGCCTAATTAGATAATCAGCAGTTAACTAAACATGATTAGGGTGCAATAGATACTTACAACAAGCAAGGATATTGAGCTTTTACAAAACTAAAAAGGTTAAAAGAGCAAATGTTGTAATTAGCTACCCATGTTCAGTACAGGATATATTCACATAATAATTTTCAGTTGGTTTTAATTGATGCTATAATATGGAGTTCAATGCAGATATCTAACTAACTAGATATACATATACATTATATGAACATCTATTTAAGCTATCTTTTCTAAATATATTTTTATTGTCAACCTGAAAGAAAACCTCTGATCAGTAAGTCATATAGACCAAAAGTTCAAGAAAAAGTACAATTTGTGTTTTAATAAAGTGGGCATCTAGAGAATTGTTGGAAAGCTACAACTTCGACTTGCAAACAATATTGGTCCAAATGCATCTACTCCTTATGGCCTTTTTCCTCTTTTATTCATTTCTGTAATTTTACCCATTATCTTTTCTGTGTTAAAAATAGGCAACAATGCTTGATAAGAAATGTACTCATTATCTTACCCATGTAATTGCAACCCCTCTGTACAGTATTTTCACAATTAAAAAAAAAAGAAAAGAAAACATATCAACTCACCTTCAAATATAAATCTAACTTGAAATAGAAGAGACACAAAACAGGATTAAATACTTGGATTATTTTAATCAAATTATTTTCAGAATGAGAATACCACAAATATTACTACAAATAGGGACTTCCTATTTTCCTTACTATAGCCTTTTTAATTTTTTATTTTATTGTAAAGATGCTGTACAGAAGGGTTACAGTTACATGAGTAAGGTACGTTTCTTGGTGAACATTTTAAAACTATATATACAAGGCGTACTATTAAGTGCACAGTATGCTACACATTTACCATTAATTCCTAAGCAGTACTAAATGAGATGTATAGGGGTTAAAAAGGAACAAAATTTCTCCTTTTTTGCAACCATAATCATATTTAAAATCAACTAAAAGTTTACTTCCACTATAATTGTCATATAATAAATTATAAAAAGTAATTTTCTTTGGTCATGGGGCCTGAACTCTGGGCCTGGGTGCTGTACTGCAACTTTTCAGCTCAAGGCTAACGCTATACCACTTGAGCCATAGCGCCACTTCCAGTTTCCTGTTGGTGGTTTATTGGAGATAAGAGTCTCACAGACTTTTCTTTCCAGGACTGGCTTTGAATCACGATCCTCAGATCCTAGCTACTCATACAGACCCACCGACGCCCGGCATAAAAAGTAATTTTAAAAAATAGTTTTATTGTTATTATTAAGGTGTTATACAGATGGGCTATCATTTCATAATTCAAATAATGAGTACATTTCTCTTTTTTTGACAATGTCATCATTCTTTTAGTTTCCTCCACTAAAAATTATTAATTCCTATCAAATATGAGCAGCCTTTATATCTTTCTAAATAGTTTAGTATATGAAATGTTAAAATTCAGATATAGATCAATTGAGAACACTTATAGGTAGATAGAGCCAATACAAATTGGATAGCTGAAAGCCAGAGTTGGTTATAAACAGATCTATAGAAATAAGTGTACTTCATACATGGCACTACACAGAAACCCTTCATAGCAATGTTAGTCCTACAATTGCCTCTAGATGGTGTCATGGGCATGTGGAACCACTGGGTGGGCTGCAGCAGACAGGAGCACATCTGACTGCCTATGTAAAACAAAGCAATTACAATACCTGTAGAGGAGTTGGAATGTGGCTCACCTGTGTGCAGTAGGAGAAAGGCTTTCTGCAGGCTGGAATGCACTGCCTAATAGCAGCAGGGCGTGCCTGAGGGGAGCAGCCTCCTACAAAAGAAATCCCACCATTAACTGTAGATTCCTCCCAATTTTAAAACAACAAAAATTGTTATATTTCCCCTGTATGTCAATGACCACTTTGCAATAATATTATAATTACTATCATCATTATTATTATTTTAAATCACGATGTCAACAATGTGGTCTAGTTCTATCTTATTGTCTTTGCCAGGATGTGTTGTTTAAAATGAGAGAGAGAGTGTTCCAACAGACCATGTTTATGGTGGGTTTTCCCCCCAAGTTCATTAGTATATAGCTTAAGCTCTAGAGCAAAGGATAGGGGTGACAGGATCAGCAAAATTGATGAAATCTCAAATTGTATTTCATTTTTAATTATTGTTATTAGTATTATTATAACTGGTGTTGATTGTGGAAATCTGTTTAAATTCAGAAGCAGAAAACACGTGCTGGAAGACACAATCTGTATATTTCTTCAGTTCTTGAGCAACTCAGCTATGTACTAGTCTACTCCTATACCACTAATTGCCTCATGGAACCACAGTAAAAGATACTTTGATAATGATTTTTATGGATGTACTAGCCAGAGCACTCTCTCTCTCTCTCTCTCTCTCTCTCTCTCTCTCTCTCTCTATCTCTTCATAAGGTCTAGGAAGGGCAATAAAATGTTGGACAAAATACTAATAGTTGCTCAGCAGATATGTTTAATTAAAGTGATGAGATAATGTATGTTATCTAAAAGTCATCTAAATACTGGTTTGTTCTTTCTCAATTCAAGGTAGTAAAAGAGATGTGGCAAGATGCCTAAAAACAATTTGACTAAGAAGTTGATGTCTAAACTAAAAGCATGTCTAAAGTATATTTATATAATACCTGCTGATTTATAGACTCTAACCTTTGCCTGACTATGTTTGTCAATAACAGTTTACTATTTTGTAACTAGATCAGAAAGACTTTGATTCCAAGATGGCACAGAGAATAAACTTACATTTTTCCTAGGAACAAAGCAGCTAAATTCTCATTATTGACAATGAAACAAATAATCAACTCTGAATTGTGGCACAAGCAAAACTAAATCACAAATAAAACCAGAATGAGCATTTGGTAGCAAAACTGATATTTTGGATCTTAGGAGCAGCATCCTCACCGTGTGTTGTTACTAGTGTATTTGTGGAAAGAAACTTTTGTTAACAGTCATCTCCCAAATAGATTACCCCAGGGGAAGATCTTAGTAATTGGAAAAGGAATGTTAGAATTTGTATAGCTTATAAAACATTTTCTGAAATTTAATCATTAAGCTGTAACATCATTTATCCCACTATACTCGTGAGCTGAAATTATTTGTGAGATGACCTCATGAGGTACAATAGAGAGGACCACGGTGCAGAGTTTGTAGTATGATTCTTTCCAGCGTGTTATCACAGAACACTGAAAAGGACAAGACTTTTGGGGCTCCCAGTTAGGTCGACTTGGAGTCAATTTAGTCTTAACAACTTACCAAATGAAAAAGTATCTCAAGATAAGTAATTATATGGATGAAACTATAGACTAGCACTAATAATGCAGGACATATAAACAAGAAAAATGAGGCCCTGACAATACTTTCCTACAGACACTTCTCCCAGACCTATATACAACTGCTTGTCAGCTGTGGTACCAATTTAATATGCTCTGACAGAAAGGCATAAAAGATCATTAATAGTATTGAGAAGACCACTTTTATAATCAAATTGTATCCACTGTTAAGAGTAAGGGAGCTTTTCCCCCTTATTTTTAGATATTAAGTAGGAAATTTAAAAACTCACTAAAATATTCAAAGCAAAGATGTAAATGTATACATTCAATCATTATTGATTGTCATGTAAACCCTTTTATTTCAATTTTGGAAAACATTTTATAAAACAAAACAATAGCATAGTAGTGCATGAATATATGGTGAAACATGTCCTCAAAAACTTTTACTGAAGCCAGGTGCCAGTGGCTCATGCCTGTAATCCTAGCTGTTCAGGAGGCTGAGATCTTAGGATCATGGTTCAAAGCCAGCCTGGGCAGGAAAGTCCATGAGACTCTTATCTCCAATAAACCACTAGAAAACTGGAAGTGGCATGGTGGCGCTCACCTTGAGCTGAAGAGCACAGGGATAATGCCCAAGCCCAGAGTTCAAGCCCCACAACCAACAAAAACTCTGAACTGTACATGATATATTGGATTCCTTATTATACATTTTATTTATGGTATTTTAAGAGACTTAAAATAGGATTTCTTTCCAGATGTAAAAGAATAATGAAGATTTTCCATGAAGACCATGAAAATCCATATACTCTCTATTGCTTGCTTAATTTGTCTTATAAAATACAGCACATTTCAAGATCTCTTTTAGTAGCCCAGATAAGTCTTAGAAAGGAGTACCTGTAACATTGACACCATCTGAACGTTGGCACCAGACAGTTCGTTCATTATTGTTCCAAAGACTGGCTTTCCATATGTATTGATAGCATTTACCTCCTGCAATTAAATATGATAACATTGGTTCTGTTATACTCCATTTACACATAGAATGAGCACTGATCAATAGATTTAACTATTGAAATGCGCTTTGGGTTACCTGTACAAGGACGAGTTTCTAGCACCTGTTGGGGGCAGCTATCTTGGTTCTCAAAAGATTGAATTATAAAAGTCCTTGACCTAGATTGGCGACCCATGGTTTCAAAGCTTCTTCCATCAATGCATGTTAATTCACACTTGCTCCATTCTGACCATGCAGTTAAATGGCAGTCTCCTGCAAAGTTGTGTAGAACAGGATAGGAGAGACAACATGAATAACTATGTGGTGCTAGAATTCACTTGAATGCACAGAAACTCTGAATAGAAGTAGGAGGCCATTGGGTCTCAATACTGCACCTTAGTTGGACCAATTTTCTAATTGGGAAGTACTAAGGAAGATGAAGTCATTTTCAGTTTAATCTAGTTTATTAAGAGGGTCCAAAAATTGGATTGCCATTACATTGCTTCAAAACATAGTAGTCATAACTACAGAATGATCTATGTCTGCTGGTGACAATAAAAAAGTTTAAAAAGGAGATGTTAAGTTTATAGTAACTCAGTTTTGAAAGATCAGTACAGCATTGTAAAATGGGTATTCATAGAAATTCCATAAAAAGGTATAAGGGGGTCACTATAATGAAACACCTTTTGTCTTAAAGAACATTTCACTCAATATTCTTGGCATTTATGTATGGAATGGATCAACCCATTTTCTGGGGAAAGAAATCATGTTTACAGACATCATTTGCAGCTGGGTGCTAGTGACTCATGCTTGTAATGTTAAGTACTCAGTGAGGTTTGATAAGATTAACCCAGGCAGAAAAGACCTAGAAACCCTATCTCCAATTAATCAGCAAAAGTGTAAAATTCTACCATAAGATGCTAAAAAGTATGCACTGTTTCGAATAAAACCAAGAAATGCAGCATTGTAAAAAAAAATGTTAGATTGGAGGCTTGGTTTGAGTGAGAGCCTGAAGTGATATAACACAGATTTTAGCTCAGTTCATACTCTTCCAAATCCACAGCATTTTTTTTCTTCTTTTTCCTTCTACTTTCTTCACCTCCTTTGGAGCAATAATATATTCCAAAATGGTAACCACAATTTGAAATGGACTACACTTAAAATCCTTGATTTGATGAGATAGAGTTTCTCCAGAAAGAAAGCAAAAGGAAGCTGATAGAAAAGATAAGTAAATAAATAAAATGACTCCTGACTACTAGAATTCCATACCTGGACAAGGCACAGAACATGGCTGCTTGAGGATGCTATCTTGAAAGGGCATTTCTCCACACAGTGTATCCTCTACAGGGATAGCTCCATGAGAAAGGGAAGAACTGTGGACCATACAGATAAAGCTTCGCACCTGGGTTCCTTCCCCACAGTCTCCACCCTGTGAGAACAAAGGATTCATCCACAGTCACTCTAATAATTAACATCTTTCATGGAACACTTTCCTTAGCTTCTTTGTCTCCGCGGTTGAGAATAAAGCACTACTGAGCAATGCTTCTAAAGTTAACAGAGAAACTAAAGTAGAAATACAAATTTATGCCACAGAAATTATGTTCTCAGAATATGACCATTGTTACTGGAGCTTAGCCAGAATTGACTAAACAAGAAAAACAAGACATAATTCATCTAGGTCGACATGATAAAACAGCCTAATCCATAATCACCTCCCAAGAGAACATGTACAGCCACAGGGCACACATTTCTTTTATTTTTCACTGTTTTTCTTTTGTAGAGAATTCAATGCTTTTTCACATGGATTAAGCTAGGGTTTCTAGTGAAACTCTGATTTTTCTCTATTGCCATGAAACCTTATTTTCCCACCATGTCCTTCATGCTGAATAAATATTCTTTGAGGACATTTCATACCAATCTCACTCAGATATTCTAGGTAATTAGAAAAATTTTGTAGTGTCTCACAGAAACAGATGCTTAGAATTGAAAGGATTTAGTGGGGTTTTTTTTGGCTCAACCATCTGCCTGATGAAAAGTTTTGTACTATGGCAGGCACTCATGAGATGAATATCTTCACCTCAATTCTTGTCTTGTGGTCCTAATTTAAAAAGAAGTCCATTAGATGTTTGGGTAACTTCAGCTAATAGCTTTATTTTTTTCACACAGATACCTAGAAAACAGAGCCCAAGGAGAAGCTTTTATGTTAAGGAAGTGCAATTCAGACTGGCATAAATGAGGGGTCAGAAAGCATAGAAATAAGAAATCAAATATAAGGTAGGCTGTTACCTCAGTGGTCCCATCTTCACAAAGAAAGCCAAATAACTAGTGGTTACCGGTAACATCTTCCAGAAAGGTTATGTGGCCTCATCATGTCACAGTACTTGCTCATAAAAAGTGAGAATGAAAGAGGAGGAGAGGAGCTGAAATGGCAGCAACTTCTTAGAATTGCAGGACTGCATATTTGTGGTTCTGCCCTCTGTTGCTGCATTCAGAAGTGCTTCATGCCATAATGGTTTATTAGGTTATAGGATGATAATCCTACAATGGCAAACTTGATTTCATCCTTTATTAAAAAAATCGCTTCTCCTGTATAAGACACAGAGACTGCTTTGCCTACACCTTGGAAATACAGTCACTCATGCAGAGGCAGGAGGAGAAATGGACATGTTCAGACAAAGCAGTCATGAAAATATTCCCGGTCAGGGAGCAGATAATGTACAAACTGAGTCGGCTAGCGCCAGTCAGAGAAAGGTAGAATGTCAGCATCAGGGGAAGCTCCTGGGTAGGGTGATGGAGGGGCAGAATGATACCAAGTAGCTGCTGAGAGAGATTCTCAACATGAATGAAACCGTTTCCTTTAGGTAGAAATAGCCATTTCTCCCATCTGCATTCACTTTCTGTAGTTTAAGTTACCCACAATTCACTATGATCTAAATATTATTAAATGGGACATTTTAGAAACATTGTTTATTTCTATTCTAAATAGAATGAGTAAATACTGTACTACACCGTTTCTTTCTGCCCTTCATCCCTTTTGGGGCAGTGTACCTGGGCTCTATATACAGATCCCTTCTGTAAGTCACTTAGCAAATGATTAACAGTCATAATAGCATGGTAATATTGTTTAAGTGATGCTTTTTAACTTAATAATGGCCCTGAAGCACAAGACCAGTGATATCTGCATTTTTGAGCTATATTCTAATATTCAAATTTATTGCTAGTCATTATTGTTAATCCCTTACTGTGCCTAATTTACGAACTAAATATTACAAAGATTATGCACAGGAAAAAAAATACTACATCCTGGGTTTGGTACTTCCCATGATTAAGGACATCCAATGGGGACTCTGGAATGTGTCCCCCGTGGAGTAGTGTGCCCTGTTTTACTGTCCAAACAGGAAAGATGGGATTGGGAAGAGTCCAAGTTGTAATAATTTAAAGTCTACAGAACCTGTGGAGGCACTTGAATTGGGAGCATCACTGTTTTCTTTTAAAAATGTTTTCACAGAATTTATGATTGTTTTATTAAGGATCGTCTATCAGTCCATTCATTCTATCTGTAACAAAAGCACTTCAGGCTATGTAATTTATAAATTAAAAAAAACAGGTGTCCCATAGGAGACTGGGAAGTGCAAGGTCAAGTTACCAGCTGATCTGATGTCTGTGAGGACCTGCTACACATACAAGGTAACTATTAAGGATGCTGCCAGGCAGAGAAAATGGCTCCCTGAGGCTTCATTTATAAAAAGAGGAATCTTATTCCTGAGGGAAGGACCCTTTTTGGAATCACCTCTTAATCCCATCACGCTGGGATACAAACTTCAACACTTGACTTTTTTTTCGGGGGGGGGGGTCCGGTTGTGGGGCCTGAACTCTGGGCCTGGGCGCTGTCCTTCAGCTCTTCAGCTCAAGGCTAGCACTCTACCACTTGAGCCACAGCACCACTTCCAGCTTTTTTCTTTTTGCTTACGTGGTGCTGAGGAATCGAACCCAGGGCCTCAGGCATGAAAGGCAAGTGCTCTACCACTGAGCCATCTTCCCAGCCCAACACATGACTTTTGAAGGGACCTAAATATCAGTCTTTAGCAGATGTCAATTCTTGATTTATTAATAATTATAACTTGTCTGTTTCTATAGCTAGTGTGAAATTATTTTTTTATAAAAACTCTCATCAGTTTAAACATAAGCTTATGTTTTAGAGATGAGAGTTTCAAATAATACACAGTAGATTTCATTCAAAATTAATGTTTGTACCCTAAAATAGAAATAGCAGGTGCTAAGCTAAATTTCTTTTGAGGGGAGAGTTCTTTCATAACTGACCATAAAGATAATGAATCCATTGCAGAATTTTCTTGATATGTTTGCTACTATGTATCAGACTTCTGTACTTGGAAGGAAATCTAAAGGTACTGCAGCCTGTGTGAAGTTTGACAGTCTTGATGTGTGGCACCACAGGTAACAGAAAATGCAGTTGATGAGAGTTTTATTTGGCACTCTATGAGGCAGTGAATGAAGAAATGACATAAAACAAGCCTACCCCTGGGATCACTTAAACTCCAAGACAAACAGCAATAGGCTGCTAGTATGTATTTTGGGATCGGCTCATATTCAACCATAATCTCTTATAACTTTAATGATACCTACAATCTAAAGAGAAATCATCAGAATGGAACTCCATTCCTAAAACAAGAATTTACTCACTCGCACATTTATGAGTCTTTATAGACTGTGGTCCAAAAATAGACCTACCTTTGAAAGCATAATGTAAACCACAAGGATATTTTTGCTAACCCTAATTGCCCAAATCATGAATGGAAGATTTGTATATATAGAATTACCATCTCTAAAAGATGTGGACAGGCAGATGGCATGAATTAACATAAACGTAGTTTAATCGAGATCATAAAATTTACTGAGCTCTTAATTTATGTTAGGTACTATGGTAAGTTCTTTAGGATTTATCTGAAAGCCTCACCAAAACACCTCAGAAGTTGGGCTTCCATATCTCAGAGATTCCATGTTCTGCAGCTGTGGTTTCAGCTAATATAAATTAAAGGCAGGGTGACATTGATCAAGATGCATTGTGCTCACAAACTGACATGTTAAATTGAAATCCTTTTGTGCATTACTTAAAAGATAATTTTAAATATAATAGAAAGAGACAAAAGTACTTTAAAGTTGCATATATTCTAAATTTATTTCCTCATTAATATTCCTAATAAAATGCAATATGACAAATATTTGCATATTTACATAATATTAGGTATTCTCAGTAATCTAGAGATTTGAAGAATATGAGAGGCTATGCATAGTTTATATGCAAATCCTAAGCCATTTGAAATAAAGAACTTGAGCCTCTATGGATGTTGGTATTTGTAGAGGCATTGCTTTGACCATAATATAGGTAAAAAACAAATTCTAGGACCACTTAGAATTTGACCCACAAATACAAGGTAGGGTTCTCAGACTTATACCCAAAATTAGTACTGCTAGATGGCTCAACTTGAGCTCCTCCATCAGATTTATCAGCCTATATTAACAAATAAGGAACTAGGGAAGGAAGAGTTAGGAAATACTGAGCAAGGAAAATTATTGAACATAACTGCCTCCTTTGGCTAGTGCTTTTGATAAAAGGTAGAGGAAGAGCGGGCACATCTACTATGCCCTGTACAAGTGTCTCTTACATGGGTTTGACACTTTGTGATGGCCAGTAGCCACTGAAATATCATGTTGCTACCCTCAATAAATGAGCCCTGAACTTGAATTTGGCAGGTTAGAACAAGGGAAATCAGAAAATCAGCTAGAGAGAAAGATATTCTTTCATTGTGTGGAGTATTTAGATCCAAAATGCTAAAAATCTAGCTTATGTATAAATACAAGTGAAGACAAGTCTGTGGAATCTATGCTATCTACCTCACAAAGAATTTGAAGTGAGGTTTCAGAAAAATGTGAGGGCATCTGGAACTCAGGACAAAATCTCTCAGACGTTGTCATGATGCCACTGCCATTTGTGTCCTCAGACTAGGCAGAAAATATGGCATCTAAGATTTTCTTTGAACAGGTTCATATGCACTTCAAATTCCTGGGAAGGGACATTGATTGACCCTATTTGTGTAGATACCCACCTAAACCAACCACCTAATAACAAAAAATTTCTGTTTCTGTCTGTCTCTCTGTCTCTCTATCTCTGTCTCTGTGTCTCTGTCTCTGTCTGTCTGTCTGTCTGTCTGTCTCTCTCTCTCTCTCTCTCAGGTCTTTGATTGGATTAAGTCTAACTCCAGTGTTTCTTCCAAAATAAAAGTGTCCTATCAAGATCTTAAGCAGCTCATATATTTCTGGAGGTAGAAGCAAGCCAGTCATCTGCTCTTAGGCATCTCTGGGTCTTTCCAGATACCCTAGCCATCCACTCACTACCACCACTGTACAAAGATGGTCATAACCCATCACTATCCCTGTGGTTCTTGCAGAAGCTCCACATGGGACAGAAAAATTACATAGATTCCCCCCTCCCGTGCATTTTTAATAATGGGTCTTTAAAGCAAGTTGTCAGAATTGCCTGTTGTCTAAAACAATGGTCTCTTGACACCTAAAAGATAATGGTGCGATAGGAAGGTACAAGGTTGGCACGGTGGCAGATGTGCAGCTGGTAGGGATTGGAGCAGAGTCAGTCTCTCCATTCCTCCTCTATCCCTCCCTCCTTTCCACCCTTAACTCTGCCTGTCTTTCTCCTTTCCTTTCCCCTTCAATGATTCTCTGAATTCTTTGAACTCATTTTCTCTCCTAGGTCAAAGATATCACAATTAAAAGGTGAATTACTCTTTCCATTTTCTTAATTATAAATGATGTACAACAGCATTTAAACATTGCGATAGCCTTTGGAAAGGTACATAGACTAGTAAACAAAATGTTGATATTCAAAATTATTAGATTACTCTTGAATTTCTTAATTTTAACATGGTTACCTTTCTTTAGATGATTGAAAGAATGTATCACACATTAAGGTTCCTCTGGGAGCTATTAAAATACACAGACATTTAGCATTTCAAGATAACAATGCTTCATGACATTGTCATCCTGACAGGAGCATTAAACATCTCTATGAGAATATTCTGCAGATTTTATTAATGCACAATAAAAATTATTGTTATCTAATTAAAATATGCTTTGAAAGAAGAACAAAGGATAAATTATTAAATTAAAAACTAAGAGGAAATCATTACACTGTTTTTTAAAGCAAGATACTAGGGAGAGAGAAATTTTTGCTGATCCAGCAAAAGCTCTGAGTAAGTTATATATTATGATGTTGCTAAGCTTTTATATTTTGGGCCAATAAAAAAGTAATCATTGAGGAATATGTAGTAACCTTGGTTCATGTAATAATGTTAAAATATAGTTTTTATACACTTTTAGTTTTCTGCCCATATGCAAAATTTGATCTAAGCCCAAAAAGTGTTTCTTTAAGAAATACAATTTAAACTAAGCTGTGCATTTCTCCAACATCAAAGTTTTGCTTAATAAAATAATATTTTGACATTCTCAACAAGCCAAGAAAATAGCAGAGAATTCTTGAAGATATGAAAGAAATTGATGGTCTTATGGTCTGGTTTCTGATAATCAATGCTTCATGAAAGGTTGTTTATAGGGATAAGTTGCTTGTCTGCATCAAGTATGATACATATATGTATATATTTTGGGATCAATTCATATTCAACCTTAATCTTTTATACCATTAATGACAGCCACAATATAAAGAGAAGTGAGTGTCAGAATGATAACTTCATTCTGGAAACAAGCATTTACTTACCCACACATTTATGAGTCTGTATACATATGGTCCATACATGTGTATATATCTATGTGCATATATATCTCTCTCTCTATATATGTACATATATATATATATATATATATACATATAATATTGCCAGACCCTAGTTCTGTGACCAGGAAAATGTTTCGGACATACTGAGAAACATTTCTATAAGTGTTATTACATGACTACCTCCAAGTTACATGTAGACCAGTTGCCAAGGACCCATCGATAGCAGGGAGTCACTGGGCAGGTTTTCTGCTGGGTAAGCTCTGTGGGACATGGCCGTCCTTCTCCTTGGGTTGGCATAATGATAAATCGAGTCCGAGTCATTCGCCCTAAAATGATAAAAAAAAAGAAGGCATCAACTTTTCTGTTAGAATTGGTCTTTGGAAGGGACTTGAAAGAAAGAATGTTGACTTACTCATAGAAGTCTTAGGCCTGCATAATAACACATTGAACACATTCCAGTCTAACATTTAGTTTTCTGCAATTTCAGTTTATATTCACAGAGACACAAACTACCTGCATTTTCATAATGCTTTAAAAGATCTTCAAATCTATGCCAGTCTTTTATTTTAATCTTCATAGACAGAAACCTTCTAACATTGCAGAAGGGACTAATTTTGTAAATATTTTAAAAATATTTTAAACAAATATTTTAAAATATTTGTTTATTAAGCTCTAATACGATCAAGCTAACTTTCTATGAATTAGTTATTGTGATAAAATTTCCAGCTGTTTCCTAGGAAGTCATTATTCTGAGATCCTAAAAGTCTTCTACAATTAACTTAACTAATTGTCCTAGAGTTTAAATGTCATTGAAAAAGTTGTTAGCTTGTGTGAAGGAACTGTAATATTTAAAAATCTTATGTTCAAATACAGGAATTCCATGACACAATGCAAGATAGTTAGTTAACAAAAATTTCTGGAAAGAATAAGGTCATATTTCATCTGAGCATTTGAGATATTATTAGCTCAACTGGAATGGTAGATAGAATGAGTTATACTACCTAAATATCTTTGTGAACACATTCTCTCTGTTTGTATGTCTCTGTATGTATCTTTCTCTGACTTTCTCTGTGTCTCTATTTCCTTTCTCTCTCTGCCTCTGTCTTCTTTCTCTGTGTCTTTGTTCCCCCCATAACATTTCCTCTATTGTTATACTAAACACATCTGAATTGGCTAGTATTATTTATCTGTGAATACCAGACATATATTTGCTGTTAGAAAATTAATTATGCCATTGGGTTTGTGATAAATATGAAAAGAAATACAGAGCTTCTATTGGCATGTACTGGAATATGAACTCGGGGCTTCAGAAATCCTGGGCTGGCACTTTACATTTTTTTATACCCGTATTGGGTATATCAGGTATACAACCTGTTCCTCCCAGAATTCTGTTGATGCACAAGACTATGAAAGGCACAGTGATTCAGCCAACTTTTAACCTACCAAACCTTCTATATTCTGACTAGACTCTTTCTGCCCTCAGAAGTATGAAATTTGCTGTAACACTTGTATTTTCAAAATAAAAATAGAAAATATTCCTTGGGCCTTCTTTGTTTCTTGCTTTGTTTTATGATTTTCAATAACAGCACAGGATAAATTACTAGACACATACTGAAACCTGATTGCAATGGTAAATGTGGAACATATGCCTAATGGTCAGTGCCAACTACATGGAACAATAGAAGCTGACTTCATAACTAGGCACTCTCTGAAAACTGTTTTCAACTTAATAAAGACTTAAATTATGGAAAAGTTTGGTATTTTCTAGTCATTCTGTTCCCTTTCCTTTCTTAGGGAATGCTGACACCTCATTATAAAGAATAGTGACATTGAGCTTACTTGTTATAAAATTAGAAATAATTACCTGTAAGGAAAAGAAAAGAATTGCATGGCAAGACTTTCAGAGAAAAACATTACACCTCTAGTTCTAAGAACAAAACACAACTATTGCTCACAAGCTTAAAATATGCCCTACCAAATCAAATTCCCACTCAACTCAATGATAATATGACTTGATTTTTAGCTTCTACTCATAAAATGCATGTGGGAAATTTAAGCAACTAAAAACTAAAGCTGGTTAACTAATAGCCAAATTTTTCAAACTAGAAATAAAACAAATACAAAGACCTGTCCCTTAAAAAGTTGTCTCTAAGAAAAAGGGAGTCAAATACCATTATTTCTTGTCTGATCATACTTTCATTTCCAAATAACCAGGTACCATGCCTTTAAATGCTTTAGATTTAGATGCTTTAAATAATGATTGTCTTGTATCCCTACTACACTGTCTTTAAATTAGTTGAAAATTGTAGTTTAGATAATTCTGAAAAACATGATTAATGGGTCAGGCAAAAATTATAAATTGTATTTTTAAGGGATAAAGAAAAACAGAAATGCAAGAATCATAGAACATTGAAGACAAAAATTAAACTCAAATAGATAGCTCATTAAATAAAATACCTCAGCAATTTTCAAAACATACCTACCAACTCCCACATAGTATATAAGTGACTTGTAGCTCATAAGCTTTCATAATTATGAATACTACTATTGCTGGCTTGTTTCATCTGGAATATTGGTGTAAATATAGGTTGAATTTCTTAAGGACATCTGCTGCCATTGGCAGGAAAGGTCATCTGCTAACTGGCATCTACAAAGGGTTGGACAACTTAACAATACTCACTGGACTCTAGCCAATGGTGGTATTTCCTTATGGATACACAGACAAAAATGATATGATTGATAAAATGTTTCCACTTTCAACTCTTCTCCCTGTGGATTGTTAAAAAAGCTTTTGGCATTTACTATTTGTGATTTGGTTGTAAATACTAAATGATGAAAGACTAAGAAGCAAAAGACTATTAATTAAGCAAAACTCTATTAATAGGTAGTCATGTTCAATCTCTGAAATAACAGTAGTCACCTATGAGTCTGTGGGTAAGGTCAGTTATTGTACGATAATGTTGTCCTTATGAAAATGGCCCTCATTATGGAGGGTGATGACACTATGTGCTGATGTATGGATAAGATAATGTTCAATGTTTTCCTCTTCCTTATTTGGTCTTCTTCCTACTCCTACTGATAACTCATGCATCTGACATTCCATCCATATGGCAAACAAATACTTTTGAAAATTCTCAGTCCAGGCTGTGTTTCCAACATATTCTTAATATCCTTACTTAAGACATGAGAAGTTCAGAGGACTTAAGTCAGTTTTGAAAAAACCACACAGGAGGATTGGAACAAAGGTTTCCCCTATTCCAAAAGAGTGTGCTTTCTGATAAAATTCATCTAGTCTGTGTCATGGGTATTAGATTCTATTGCTTTAATTACTCAGCCTCTTGAACAAGTTTGAGAATTGCATGTGGCCTTACTTCTACAGTGAATTTGCTGCCTATATTCATGCACTTCACATTTGTCTTCAGCAAAAAACTAATTGAGATTAATGTACTAATATTTTTCTTCTGTGATACTTCTTTATTTGCTCTTGAATACTTGTAAGAATACTTTTTCAAGAACAATCAAAAGTCTCATTGCATATAAAATGTCCAATTAATTTCATGCTTATCTCTATGCAGGCCTTGTATAAAGTATTTGAAACTATGCATTTTGCTTCTTTTAACAAATATAATCTAGAATTTTTATTTAAGGGCAACATTAATTCTAAACGTGCACCCTAGTGAACATGGATTTGAGATCAAGGTTAATATCCAACATAGTGAAGTAGAGAAAATTTGTAGTCCTGAGTTGAAGCTCGGCATTTTCATGATGAGAAATGCAGTACAGATTCTACACTCTGAGCTGCAGTCATTGTGCTTCTTCAGTAAAGAAATTCCATGAGTAATCTGAAAATTACTGCAGGCAACTGGACATCGTTCATCTAAGAGAACATCTAACTTAGGCAAGATAAAGAACCTATGGGCTGTTTTGGGTAAAACTGACAGTATTTAGCCAGGAGTGAGCCTAGTAACTTGAAGAAGTGTATTTATACCACAGTTTCAGAAATAAAGAGTGGCAATGGTATTATAGAAGGTGGGAGGGTCTTTGAAGGGAGGAAGATTTAGTAATTAAAATTCTGCATGGTTATAAAGAATTCTGGTCTTCCAGTGGTATAGTGTATATACATTTAAGCTAGTTCTATTATATAATGGCATTAGTTCTATTAACAGTTAACAAAACTTGATGCACCACTGCAACATGCATAAATAGTAGAAATATCCCAATGACAATACTCCCAAGAGGTACAAGTTAGGAGGTAAAAGAGGTAATACAGAGGGATATCTTAAAGTATAAATACAACTTTTATTTTTCTCAATGAAAGATACACTAATCTGCTTGTTCCAAAATGTATCTATAAATAATAAGAATTCTGCTAGCTCTTTTCTAGCTCTCTCTCTGCTCTTTTCTAGCTCTTCTCTTTTCTAGCTTTTTTTCTCTCTTTTCTAGCTCTCTCTTAGCTCTTTTCCCCAGCTCTCTCTCTTTCTCTCTCTTTCCCAGCTCTCTCTCTTTCCCAGGACTTTCCCCACAGTGTGGAGGACCAAGATGGTCTGGTGCCAGCCGGAACGATGAATAAACCTACCCCTTGACTGAAAAAAAAAAAAAATAAATAAAAAAGAATTCTTATTAAAGTCACTCAGTATCTAACCTAGAGCAATGTTCATGAGAGGTCTTTGCAGAATGTCAAAAGCAAAGGAAAAAAAAAGTGAAACACCTGAGGCCTTGTAGACACCCAGCCCTGGGTTCAAATCTAGCTACTATAGCTATTAAGCTATGTAACTTTGTGTAGGTTACTTAATTTCCCATAATTACAGTTGAAAATTAGGCCACTACATCTCTGATGAAGATTACTGACATACCCCTGAATTTACAAATTGCCATTTGAAAGAAGGCTCTAAAAGTAAATCTTTTGTGTTCTTGTCTTCTTTTACAGTATTCTACCTCGCCTTTCACCCTCTTGCCATAGGAAATAATTAGTTGATACAGTAAATTCATTTGAATTGTTACATCAGATTGTGTCCAATCAAGGTACTACTCTGATAAAATTTCCTGCAGATCACAAAATTAAGGTTATTGACTTGCCCTTGAAATCTCTAGGGGAAAGGAAAAGCTGGGGATAAGAAAAAGTTGTGCTTTGGAGCTAATACAATATTATATTTTCATTATGGGATAGAATTGACAGAAAAATTACTATATACCATCTGGAAAACACAAGAAGCAGGCTGGATTATACAGTATAGAAAAATAATATTAACACCTATGCACTAAATTAAAAATACAATAGAGAAAAATCATAGCCTGAAATTAATAACATTCTTAGTCTTATTGGTTA